AGGTGCGTTTCTTTAAGTCTTCCTACCAATATGACCGAGTTGCGAAAACAAGGTCAAACAACTTCTAGAATGTGTGAAGTTTGAAGTATAAAGTATGAATGTGAAATGACACGTACGAAGTGTGAATTGAGAAATTCTAAGTGTTAATTTTGCTCCAATCGAGAACGGCAGACTTGGTGCCTCCCTTGCGGCTGGGTTCGTATCGTTGGTTTAACATACAATGCGTGTGGGTGTATGTATGAGAATGCGCGTGGCTGCACGGCCCCACCAAGGCCTGTTCGAGTCCGCCACTCGGATCGAGGCCTCTGCTCTCCACGGGCTGGGCATAGACGCCCGGTGGGCTTGTCTATGTGTGTGTGTGTGTGCTGTGTGTGTGGAACGTGTGGTATGCGCGAGGCCGTAGGCCGCAAGACTGGCGTGCCGAGCCGCCTGACTCGGGCCTCGATTGTCTTGGCGGCGCCCGACGGTCGCCTGTCCCGCCGTTAGCGGACCCGGCTCAGCCTCTTGCGCCCACCTCACCGGGTTCAGCCTAGCCCTCGACTCTCGGCCCGATAATGACTCACATGTCGGGCAACCGGACCGATGATTCATCTGCCTCTCCTCCTACACATCTACCAGTTCCAGCTCCGCCTCTGCCCCCATCTCCACCAGTTCCACTTCCAGCTCCAACTCCACCTGCATCTTAATTTGTCTCAGCATAGACGCATGGGCGCTATGACGCACGCTCAATCACCGAACCAGCACACACACACACACACACGCACGCACAGAGATCAAAAATACACTGCACGTCCTAGACGGAAGTGGACACGAAGCCAGCGCCCCTGCATGACCTTGATATCTCCTGTCTCTGTTTGTGAGACCATCTTGAGCTCCTTTTTTTAATTGAGCGATCCGCATCGCGCTGTCCCTCCGACTATCGATCGCCGGTGAGTTGATTACCCTTTGTCGCTCCTACCTCTGAGCTCCACTTGACTGCAAGTTAAACCTCTTACTCCCTCTCTGCCCCCCCCCCACCTGGCCCCACAATCCTGATGGCTTTTTGCTTGGCCCAGCCAACTAGCCAGTCAGCCGCCCGACAGGCCAAGTGAAAAGTCCTTCAGGGCTGGTCGGTGAGGTATTTTCCGCGGCCTGATCCCACCTGGGACGGATCGCCGCCTCTGCTCGAGGGCAGTTCGTGTGTTTCTCCTCCGTCTGCACTCTATCACTCGGCTTCTCGATCAGTCTCGTCTGACCCACTCGTTTCCACATCTTTCTGTCTGTATACATGTATGTCCCTCTGTCTGTGTGTATATCTGTTTGAAGTCATTTTGCCTGTACGCATGTGAGTCAATGAGTGAGTTAGTCAATTAATTTATTTATAATGTGTATTTACCCTACAGGTAGTCTTGACAACCTACATACAAACGAAACAGTTAGTTTGTAAGAAGTTGTTTGACCTTGTTTTCCCAACTTGGTCATAATAGTAGGAAGATTGATAGAAACGCACCTTGTCCTGAGTCCATTGTATGCATAATTATTTATATTCGTAAGTAGGGTTTCGAGACTCATCATCATTTCCAGAGTCGGACCGTGGATGTGGTACATTCCCAGACGTTTCGCCGGCATCGTAGTCGGCATCGTCAGTGAGTTTCACCATTCTTGGCACTATATTACAACTCGTCAAAGAGACAAGTTAGTTTGTAAGTCTATCAGTCTATCTGTCGGAGTGCAAGTCGGGACGACTCGTCAACCGACACCAGAAAAGAGGCGTCGTTCACGTCGAGTCTCTCGCAGGAGCGGGATCATTGCCTTACCGGCCCGGGCTCAAGCTCGGGCCCACCAGCAGCTGCCTAACCGGCAGACGCCCGCATTTGCGTCGACCGAGTCGCCGTGGTGAGTTGGGTCCGGGTATGGCGGCGTAACGCCAAGGGCCGGACGGCCGAACTAAACCCACCAGACCGCCACGTTTGTGCCATTCTGAAATGCACATTTGTTAACCTTCACATGTCTCATGCCCCATTTTATCAATCGATCATCCACAATCAACAATCAACAATCAACAATTCACAATCCACAGTTGTCAGTTGGTAGTTGACAATTGACGAGCCAACCATGACGATTCCCAAGACTTGCGTTTCGCCGATAGCTCCGACACGTTACTCCACCCACGAGGCAAAAGTGGGCAGGACAGGACACATCCGCCCACCTTTATCCTCTTTTGTTTGTCACTCCTTCCGTGTCTGCATCCGAGGTGGGGCTTGCATCCATTTTTATTCGACATTGCCCGCCTCGCCTTAATCCACCTCCATGCTTGTCTGTGTAATGCACGGTTTGGTGTGTGGATCACTTCTGTTTGGTTGTTGCCACAGCCCGTGCTAAGATTGCCGTTTCTCTATCGATCCCGGTGTAGGAGGAGAG